GAGTTCGACCGCCCCCCGGGCGAGGTCCCTCGAGGATGCCTTAATGGTCTTCTCGAGCTCCTCGGGGAGTCGCTCGAGAACCCAAGCCATCCTGTTGAGGTGCGGAGCGAGGCCTTCCAGATTGGTGGGGGGCACCGTCGTCTGGCCTCCCCAGAGGCCTGCTTGCCGACCGGCGCGCTTCATGCGGGAGACCGCGTCCCAAAGCATGCCGGGCCCAATCTCGCCCGCCAAGCGAAGGGCCTCGGCCTCCCCGGTGGAGGAGTCCAGCGCGCGCTGCATGTCAGCGACGGTGTGTTCGGCAGCCGCGAGGCGAGCGGCTAAGTCGCTTTCGCCCGCAGCCGCCCCACCGATGCGCGCCCCCGCGGCCAGCTCTTTCTCCCGTGCCTCGAGGTTGGCAGCCCGCTGCTCCAGCGCGGCTCTCTCGGCGCGGACGCTTTCAAGGTTGCGGCGCGCCTGCTCCTCTTGCGCCGCCTCGCGGAGGGAGAGGCTGTCCGCCAGCCGTCGCGTCGTGGCCTCGGCCTCCTCGAGAGCCCGCTCCCGCTCGGCGAGTGCATCCTCGCGAAGGCGGAGCGCGGACTCCTCCTCGGCGCAGGCGGCCTCGTGCGCTGCCAGCGTCGCCTCCCGGAGAGCAGTGGCGGCCTCGCGGTCCATCAAGCCCCTCTCCACGGCGCCGGCATGTTCTTCCAGCGCCATGGCACGGGCCTCAAGGGCCTCCTCGCGCCGCCGGGACGCCGCTTCGGCTTCCGTTGCCCGCCGCTCTCGGGCGGCAGCGGAGTCGAGAACCCCTTGGGCGGCGTCGAGCTTGCTCTTCAGCTCCGCCTCCCAGCTTGCGTGCTGAAGACGGAGGGTGTCTTGCGCCTCGACCATCGCGGTGGTGGCGACGAGGGCGGCCTCTCGCTCCTCCTCCACCTCTCGGGCGATCTCCGCCAGCGCCGCCTTGCGGGCTTCGAGCTCCGAGATGTGGCGGCGGTGAGCCTTACGGCCCACCTCCACCATGGCGTCCACCGAGCGCCGCCCCTCCTCGACGCGCGCCCATGCGGCCTCGAGCTCCGCTCGTTCCGCTCGCAAGGCCTCCACCTGGGCGCTAAATCCGTCTAGCACCGCGGTGTTTGCGGCGGCCAAGGCCTGCATAATGGGTTCGGCGCTCACTGGGGCGACGGAAGAGGAGGAGAAAAGCCGCCTTGGAGAAAAAGCGACGCGGCTTGGCCCCCCGGAGGATACGCTGAGCTCGGGGATGTCCCCCGGGCCCGTTTGGTCCTGGGCGTCGCCCGGTGAGGTAGGCCCAGGCGACGCGCCCGCGGCCTCGTCGCGAGCCGCCTCGGAGGATGTCGCCTGAGGGCCGCCCGAGGGAGTGGGCCCGAGTGACGCGCCAGCAGCAGCTGCCGCCTCAGCCTGGCGAGCCCGGGCGGCCTCCTCCTGGGCAGCTTCTTCGGCTTGGCGAGCCCGGGCGGCCTCCTCCCGAGCAGCCTCCTCCGCTTGGCGAACCCGGGCGGCCTCCCGGGCGGTCTCTTCAGCTTCCCGAAGGCGGGCTCCGGCTTCACGCCGGTCAGACTCCCGCCTCCGCTCCTCTGCGGCCGCTGGATCTTCGGCCTCGGACTGGCCGGACTTGGGGCGGCGGGAGGAATGCGACGGGACATCGCTGAAGCAGAAGAAAAAACCAAAAGACGAACAAAATGAGTAAGAAAAAACTTCTCTTTGGGAGAAAGGTGGTCGCAATGAGAATGAGACGAACCTGCGAGGGGGTCGGTTGAATGACCACCTTGGGGGGGAAATTAGGTTTCCCCGGGCTGGTTCCGTCTCCCCCATCTTGCGGAGCCGCTTCTTCTTGCGCTCCCCCTCGGGCTGTGACGTCGGCGCAGCCCCCTCCGGGCGCCGACCGCTGGTACGCACCGCCCCGCCCCCTCGGGGAGGAGATGGGGGAGGTGTTCCTCCCAGCTTCCTCTTCCCCGGGGCGTCGGCAGGGCGGCTGCTCCCCGAGCCCCCGACGCGGGGCCCAGAAGCACGACCCCCTCCTGGGGCAGATTTTTTCCCCCGGCGGCTCTCGCCCGCGCCGTCGTGGCCCTTAGGGGCTCTCTCCTCTGAAGCCCCGACCCCCAGCATAATGGTTAGAATGGAGACGCGGTCGGGATCGATGCAGAGGGGGAGGATCTCCTGAGGAAGGCGAGACGCCTCCGCGGAGCTAAGATTCAGCACCCTTTGGACTACGATCTTGAAGTCCTCAGGAGCCCAATCCCATCTGGCTCCCTGGTGGGTCCGCATGTAGTCTTCAGGCCCAGTGTACTCCCAGGCGCTCCGGGCGCGCCGTTGGAGCGGCGCAATCCGGCGACGGAGGTAATCGCCGAACACCATGGCCCCGGTGAGCCCCTGGGATCGCAGGCCCGCCAGGCGGTCGAGGACGGCGTCGTACTCCTCCCCCAGATCTACCGGCGCCCGCCAGTTGGAGACCTGCGCCGGGGGCTGGCTTGGAAGGCGGAGGCGCGCTTCGTCGGCGAGGGGGGTGTAGAACCAGTCGCTCTTCCAGTCGTCCCACTTCTTGCGGAGGACGCAGGGGATATAGCGGTTCAGCACCGGCCCCCGCGGCTGGAAGTAGCAGCCGCCAACCACCGACGGCGGTGACACCGACTGCACGGTGAAGAACCACCGGAACAGCTGAAGAGAGGGGCGCACCCCAATGAACATCTCGCACAGGTGCGCGAAGATGGCCAGTGTCATCACCGCATTGGGGGTGAGGTGCGCCATCTGGAGATCGTAGAACTCCAGAACATCCATGAAAAAATGAGAAAATGGCGGGACCAGCCCAGCCATCGCGAAGGGGAGGAAGAAGATGGACCGCCCCGGGTAGTCTGGTGCCGGGCGCCCCTCGCCCAGCATCACAATCTCCCGACCGGTGGCGGACTCCGGCATGAAGCGGCGCGGCAGTCCGGCGTGCCTCTCATTCACGATGCGGGAAGGCGGCAATACACTGCCGTCGAGCAGAGCAGAGCCCCGTGCCATGGCAGTGGAGGAAGAGATGATTGGGAACGAGCGCGTGTGGCGAAAGTAGGGCGTAGCAGAGAAAGAGTTAGAGCTCAGGCAGCGAAGGCAAGAGGAACAATGGCGAAAGGAAGGGAGCAAATCCTTTTCTCGATGCTTTTATACCCTTGCCATCGCTGGGCCTGGCTCCTCGTTTCTCGTGCCCACTACCTCGCTCCCTCGTATCTCGCTATCTCGCTCCCTCGTTTCCCGTGCCCACGCTTCCACTAATCCCATTCGCCCGCTTACGGCGCTTGAGGTGGATATGCGGTTGTGGCAATCGAAACGGATTGTATCGTGCGCGCGTTAATTACGCTCGCCGACCGAAGCGGCGTTACCGTATCTCTGGGCGAGACAAATCTGCTCACCCAGATTCGCGCGCTGCTCAAGTGATGTGGCAGTCTTGAATAGACCGCCCATTATGGACAACCAAAGTTAGCAATACCAATATGCATGGACTGGGACCGTTGGGGATTTTGCCCAACTATGCAGACCGGTCCCACCTGTCACCAGGCTTTAGGAGTGGCGTCACACCTGACCGCTTCCCTTGGGAAGGGAAATTGCTCTGGCATAACGCCGGGGGCTACTGTCGGTGATATGGGACCGGGAGTATCATGACTAGAGGCTTGAGGCAGACACAATCGCCCACGTGGCCTGGCACCTTCGGGGACGTCGGGCCCGAGGGTGAGGTGTCCGCCCTCCTCCTGATTTCCCCCGAGGGGGGGTCGGGTTGCGCTTGCCCTGGCCCCGAGGGCCGGGGCGCCCCGACCCCCTTTAGGAAGTCTGCGCCACATATATGGGATAAGTGAGCACAGCTGTGCTCACCTAACAGCATTTAATGCAGTCTGGTCAGGCGTGTCACGCTGTACGCAGTGCAGTACGGCGCGTTCCTTTATCCGGTCTGTGACCAGTCACAGACCGGTCAGATCACGGGTTAGGTGGCAGCTGGCGGTCTGGCGCACGCCTTGCCCCGTCCCGTCAAGACGAAAGCCTCTAGGCACTCGTCTCAAGCCGGAGTTAAGCGTGTTATCTCTTAGAGATGACACGTTAGCCCCGATCGATATATGCCAGGCTTCATCCTAACCATTACAAGCAAGATGTTGTGTGAAGAAGGGCAAACATGCACGTTGCCAAGATTACACGCGGTGGACAAGAATGACCGATTTGTGACCGGTCTGACACTAATCATATCGTCAGCGCACAGCCGTGTTCCCACGACGCGCTCACCCCCGGCGGAAGTGGAGGTAGGTATGGGCAGTCCCATCGGAGTGTCATTCGAACAGCAACCGTGCTGATCTCCGCCCATTCTAGAGAAAAAGAACAGTCCAGTTTGGAAAGAGAAGGGTGCATGTGGTATCCCCTTGAAGTATAAAAGGAGGACCTTGCCCATAGACAGGGGGTTGGTTGATTCTTTCCCAGATTATGAGCTTAGAACGGGGGAGAAGTCAGCTCACACTTGTAGCTCATTGATACACAGATCCACCAAAACACAGGAGTAGGGTATTACGCTTCTCAGCGGCCCGAACCTGTATAGATCGTCGGTGTCTCGTGTTTTCTGGCTGGCATACGATATTTCCACATACAGAGAGAGCGAGAGCTTGAGATTTCACCCTAAGCCCCCGGCCGAACTGGCAAAGGGGGGCCTGCGCGGTCTCCCGGTGAGGAGCCACGAGCTCCGTCAATGTCTATAGCATTAAATAAGGTGTCACCTAAAATGAAAAATGATGTGGCAAGTGAATAAATGAGAAAAGAGAAGGAAACCATGTCTTGCATGAGACATAGTTTCTAAACAACATTCAAGACATCATGTGTGATAAGAAGCATTAAATTTAAGTATGGAATAGTAGTGTTTGCATTGGAAGAGTAGTGTCTAATACTAATTTCTTGATGATGTGGAGTTTATGGAAACCATATTTAGTATTTTGGGTTAGGAATGACCTAAAGGCAACGTGTCCTTGCGCCTTCATCCCCTAGTACACAGACACGGTTCTTACTTGTGGAACCGTAGGATATCAATGGACGGTAGAAACGGAAAGACCTTGTTCGTCTTCTTGGAGAGTTGGTGTAGCTCGAGGGAATCGGACGCCGCCGCAACCGCGCCGCCTATTCTCCTCCTCCTCCCAGGCGCAGCAGCAGCAACGGCGACGAATGCGGCCGCCGGCGGTCGGGGTATCGGCCGAGACTGAGTAACAGAGGCCGCCGGGGGCTGGCCGGCGCGGTTGCAGGGACCGGCGGCTCATCACCGACGGGCGCACGGCGGCAGCCTCGGGTCAGAACTCAGAATAATGTTCCTATCTTATCGGAGTTAGATTAGAATCATAATTAGCGTTGTTTGTTATAGGGTGTGTATAGGCCTAGGACTCCATCCCGTTTTTCTGAATCAGGACAACAAGGAATCTGGGGAATTCGGAATTTCTCTGCGGGATATCAGTACGGGAGGGGATTCATTGATCGATGGAGCAGGCTTCTTCTTCTGTTACCGCAGAATTGTTGCAGCAAGAAGCTCCGTATCCGTCAACCTCCGATGTCGATTGGTCCCAGCTTCCGGCCGACCTGCTCGTCCACATCTTTGGTATGCTTGACATCCCAGATATCTTCAGCTCCGGTGTGGTTTGCCGCGCATGGTGTGCCAGCTTTCTGGAGGCCCGCCGCCTAGGCATTTGCTCCGGTAACCCGGGGCCATGCCTCGTGTTCTCGTCCGGCGACCGTGACCCAACCGTTGCCACCCTGTACAGCCTCACCACAGGGAAGGAGTACTATGTAACCATGCCGGATCCTCCTTTCCGTAGCCGCTACATTGTCGGGTCCTCCCATGGCTGGCTTATTACCGCCGACGAGCGGTCCAATCTGCTCCTTGTCAATCCGGCGACTCAGGCTCAGATCGCGATGCCGCCACCGGAGACAATAGCGAATGTCAAGATACATTGCAATGCTGACGGGGTGCCAGATGGCTATGATCTTCTTACAATGGATATGTCATCACGAGATGTTGATACTGAAGCAGAGACAGAATTTCATTCCTGGGAAGAAGGCCGGTTTTACTTCTATGGGAGGGTTGTCCTGTCAGCAGATCCATCCAGTGGAAACTGCACAGTAATGATTCTGCACCTGCTCGATAATCACCTCTCGTTTGCAAGGGTGGGTGGCACTCATTGGACCTGGATCGATGTTGATGAGCAATGCTGGGATTATCATGATGTTTTGTACAACGACGATGACAGATTGTTTTATGCAGTCCGAGGCAATGGTGATGTTCATGCTATCGATACCAATGGACCCTCTCCGATGTTAAGGGTTCTCCTGGACACCAAGAATACAGTCGTCGATTGTACCAGGTATATTGTTCGGTTGGAATATGGTGATCTTCTTGAAGTATGTAGGGATTGCAAATATGTTAATGATGACCGGAGGACTGAGGAACTGATCGTATATAAGGTTGATCTTGTTGAGAAAGAACTTGTTAAGCAGAAGGATTTTGAAGGCCGTGTGCTGTTTATTGGCTTCAATAGCTCCTTCTTCCTACGAGTAGAAGATTTTCCCATGTTGACTCCAAATAGTGTCTACTGTACAGATGATTCAATGGAAAATATTTATTCTGAGCGATTTGGCTGTCGAGAGGTTGGTGCCTTCCATTTGGAAGATAGTAGCTTCACCGATCTATTGCCTGTTGGCTCGTGGTTGAATTGGCCACCTCCTGTTTGGTTTAGGCCATCATATTCTAAAGGTAAATAGAATCAATGCTTCAGTTTTACCGATTTCATTTTGCTTACATCTCTTTCTATAGATTTTCATTTGTGATAGATAAAGTTGCATTTTGATTTAGTTGTTCAGTAATTGTTGGTTTCAGTTATTTTCTATTACATACCATATGCGTAATAATATTATAGTTTACAATGATGTATTGTCTCAACTCTCATCAATATGATTGGGAATGTAACACGTGCATTATTGATAAGATAACAAGTTTGTGTGCATACGTTTAGTTGACTACATAAATATTTGATGTAGTGTAAAATACTAAAACTAATTGATTCGAAATGTAACTTGAACCTGTCTTATGATATGCTGTTGATATTATTGTGGTAGTCAAAGTTACTAATAATATTTTGTTCCCCTTGCCCAGTTCTATTCGGTGACGGAAGAGACTGAGAAGAGGAAAAGGATGACGATGATATGCAGGCCAATTTTAGGGTAAATTGGGCGTTTAGATAATTTAACCAGTTTAAGTTTCCGTACAGTGGCAATGACATAGAAGGAAATGGGCATTTTTCAATGGCAGCTAAGGGATTTGTACATGTACTATGCAGTCTGAAGTTAGAACTGGGTGTGGTGCCGTGAACTCACTTGGTCTGGTTTTTCTTATCCTCTGTGATGTTGCACGCGATACACTTAATTATATGGTTGGGAAAATGCCTTTAATAATCCCTGGCGGTATTATATATAAATCATGCTTCTTAAACGGCGGCAACCATTGAATTGATCAGATGAACCTGCGTGACTGCTTCACTGAAGGAATTTGCAAATTCTCCTGTTTTGGCCTCTTCATTCTTCAGTTATGAATTCTGATGGGTCAACTCATAGCTGGTCGTTTTTCAAGTACTCCTACGTGTATAGGATTACCTTTTGATCAATTGAAGCAAACCATACAAGAGAAGCACCAATTGAAACTAACCCGGACTAACCTTTCGCTGAACGTTTCTGGAAAGAGCAGTGCAGTAATGTTGAATGCAAGCTAAGAGCCAGCAATCTCTCATTAAATTATTTTTTTGAATTGAAATCGCATTCCATTCCCTTCTTAAAGTTTCATTCATCAACCTGAACTGGATGCAAATTCATGGTAGCACAAAGATTTGACGGAAGTAGTTCACCATGTCCAAAAATGGGCTTGGTGGTGAAGAATTGAGTCGGGCCTAGTTCAATTCACCCGTTTTCTGGCCCAATGGAAATTAGTGATAAGTTGGGCTCCTCAATTTGGGCCTGAACCCTCTGAATTGGATTGAGAATTCTTCTCTTCTCTCCTTTTCCGACGACGGCGACCGACGCCGGAGGCGGCGGCGCTACCGCGGAGGCTGCGGCCGTCGAACACCGCTCGCTAGTCGCCGGTTGTTTGCCGCCTCGGCCCGATTCCACACCACCCTAGGGCTCCACGGCTCAGCGCCTCGGTCCAAATTCGGAAGCACTAGGACTCTTCTGGTCTTTCGATCCAGGCCTCAGTGGCGGCGGCGATGGTCTGCTCGCCGGAGAAGGCGGGGGCGGCGTGCCCGGAGTGCCTGGAGCGTCGAATCCTTTCGGGCCTCCCGGGCTCCTGCTTCTCCTTCGTGCACGGCCTCCACGAGTCCCCTCTCCCCTTCGCCTCCGCCGCCGTCGTCCAGGTCTTTCCGCCACCCTATTTATCTCTTCGTTTCTGTGTGCTTAGCCTAGGCGTTGCTCCACCCTTTGGAGCTTCATTTCATATTCCTGCGAGGCTGATCCTTCCATTGCCTCCGCATTGTTAGAAATCCTTCTCTTTGTTTTAGTGGTTGTAGCTTTTTGGTTGTAGTTCTGACATGATTGTATTTTTTTTTTCGCATCTCCTGGTATTGCAGATTGCATCTGATGGGGCTGAGGAATGTAATGGGAGGTAGGGCTACTGATTCTTTGGTTACAGTTACTTTGCATATTATCTAAAACAATTACCTTTCGTGTTGATGATATTTTCTGGCAAGATGGAAAATTTAGCTGTATATGCTCTTACCTCTTTACAATATCACAACATTATACTTTAGTTAGATTATTGATCATGGAAACAATTGAGTAAATCACTAACTGAACTGTTAGCTATTTTTAGCAGTGTTATTTCAATGCTGCTGCAAAATTCCTTATTTTTCACTTGGGAGTATCATTAAAGCACATGCTGGGGCTTTTCTTTGGACATTTTAACAAGGTTGGGCACAAGAAAGTTTGACATTGTTAGTACACCAGTTCTTGAAACAAGATGCACGGAAAATAGTAACCATCTGCAAAACAACTCAAAAGCCGTTTGTACATCTATGCAGTTTTTGGCTATTAGAGCTAGTTGTATCTTGTATGCTGACTCACTGATCTACGCCCTTTGTTTTCTTAACTAACTGGATTGTCCTCTTCCTTTTGTTTCGTTCCATCCTTATTCAAGTGATGCTGTATATGTTGCAGCCAGCAGAGCACTGGTTATTTTGTATTGGTGGGACTACAGGGTGGCAAGGAACTTTTGGATATTCAAGAATGGTAAAGTTTCTTTTTAGGTACTATCTTCTATGCCCAAAAGGCTCCCAAGTTCATCAACATTTAATATTATCCTGCAGTGAGAGTAATTCCTTGGAGAATGGAAGTCAGATAGATCTGCAGGGCAAGGAAAGCACAGATGCTGATGACAACCACAGGAAGCAATCAATCATAAACACAATTACTAAGTTAACTCCTACTCGATATCTTGCTAGAGCAGCCACTTCTGAAATTAGAGAGCTTATCTCAAGTTACTTGAATTTGACAACAGAAGAGAGTGTGATGAATTCTTTAAATCTTTTGTCTGAAAATAAAATTGTTGGCTCAGGAGGCTTAGATTTTCTCAATTTTACTGGATTTTCAGAGTTCAATGATATACATCCTTCTGGCCATGTCAGACATCCCAACATCTTACCTGTTTTAGGCATTGTAGAAACATATGATTGTTGCTACATGTTGCATCCAAAGTCTCCATATACCTTGGAAAATATCATGCACTACAGTCCAGAGGCATTGTGGTCAGATTGGCATATTAGATTTCTCATCTACCAGATAATATCTGCTTTGGTGTATCTTCATGATTCTGGAGTTCATCATGGTAATCTAAAACCTTCAGCCATCTTTATGTCAGATTCTTTATGGCCTTACCTGAGCATAAGTGATATATGTCCTGTAAAACAGAATTGTGGTTTTGCTGAGTCAAAGCGTCCAGCTCTTACCCTATGTTGTTTTGAGGAGGATTGTTCTTCGAGGGCCATTTATTCTGGTTTCAATCTGTCATCATCCTTAGATTGGCAGTCTTACTCTAAGCGATGGTGGATGGGTGAATTGAGCAACTACGAATATATTCTTGTCTTAAATAAGTTAGCTGGTAGAAGATGGGGTGATCCAGCTTTTCACACAGTAATGCCTTGGGTAATAGATTTCACAGTGAGGCCTGATGAAAATTCTGATATTGGTTGGAGGGACCTCACCAAAAGTAAATGGCGGCTGGCAAAAGGTGATGAACAACTTGATTTTACTTATTCATCATCTGAGGTTCCACATCATGTTTCTGATGAGTGTCTCTCAGAGCTAGCAGTTTGCAGTTATAAAGCAAGGAGGCTACCAAAGAACATCTTGAGGTCTGCTGTGCGTTCTGTTTATGAGCCCAACGAATACCCATCTAACATGCAAAGGCTATACCAATGGACTCCTGATGAGTGCATTCCAGAATTCTATAGCGATCCTCGGATATTTGTCTCTCTTCATTCTGAAATGAGCAATTTGGCTTTACCTTCCTGGGTGACTTCTGCAGAGGAATTTATTTGTCTGCACAGGAATGCTTTAGAGAGTGATCGAGTCTCGCGACAACTGCATCATTGGATTGACATAACCTTTGGGTATAAACTTTCTGGGGAGTCATCTGTTGAAGCCAAGAATGTAATGTTGCCTCCTAGTGATCCAGCAAAGCCTAAATCAACTGGGCGGCGCCAACTTTTCACGAAACCGCATCCTAAGCGACTTACTAGCACACCTCACTCTACCTATCATAATAAAATGGAATCTTGTGCTAAATGCCAGGGGGGATCAAGTAGCATGACTACTGGTCTACTATTAAAGGACCACATTCCTCCAGCTATGTCATCACAAATTGATTATCTGGAAGAGTTTGAGCAAGCAAACGTGTTTATGAAGCTTGAAAATCATTTGTGTCCAATATATGATTATGCTAATGATTCTTCTTCTTGTTGCTCTTCAGTCAAATATAATAAGAGCCCTTGTTCAAATCAGTATATTGTGCCTCCAGAGAGTGTGCTATCAGTGGCGCCTGATTTTGATTTTTGTTCTTTTCTTGAATGCTTTGAATCCGATGATAGTTCTCCAACGGGTTATCAAGAGCTGTTGCGTTGGAAGCAAAAGTCTTGTTCAGTTAATGAGTATCATGCAAATGATATATTTTCTGTTGGGTGTATCTTGGCAGAAATCTATCTGCACGGACCACTTTTTGATGCTGATCTCCTATCTGCATATAAAGAAACTGGCATACTGCCAGGAGCAATTCAAGAATTGCCTATCCATGTTGCTGTTATTGTTGAGTCATGCATACAGAGGGAATGGAAAAGGTATCACAAAGTTGTCTGTTGTTTGTAATTTATAGTTTTGTATGTCATCACGGTGCTTTTTCCCCTAGATTTTTTAAAAAGAAACTATTAGACCTTTTTATGAACTTGTGATATTTTGCAGGAGGCCACTGGCAAAGCACCTTTTGGAATCACAATACTTTCCTCCATCCGTTCGATCTGCATACATGTTTCTTGCTCCACTTCAACTTATATGTACACCTAGGGATCGCCTTAAGTATGTTGCTAAGCTTGCAAGTGAAGGAACACTTAGAGCTATGGGGGAATGTGCTGCCGAAATGTGTGCACCCTACTGCCTACCTCTTGTTTCACCATCTTTGTCATATATTGACACTGAATTTGCCTTGGCTCTGCTTAAAGAATTTGTGAAGTGCTTAAGTGTCCAAGCAACAAAGGATCTTATACTTCACATCATTCAGAAGATCTTACAGGCCGGTTAAAATATCACTACGAAATATTCTCATGTAGCTTTCATCCATTTCTGGGTCTTGATGTGTGCAATATAGTTTTTATTTATTCCAACAAGTCCTTTTTACTTGTTGTAGGCACCAGAATATTCACATCTGAAGGTTTCCTTACTTCAAGATTCATTTGTGCGAGAGTTGTGGAAAAAATTGGGAAAACAAACTTATATTGAGAAGGTGCATCCTTTGGTGATCATGAACCTGTACAATTCACCTAACAAGATTACTGCCTCTTCTGCGTCCATTGTTTTAATTGGTTCAAGTGAGGAACTAGGGATACCAATAACTTTTAATCAGGCAAGTCTTGTTAGTAACATTTGCTTTGTTGTACCACCGTAATCCTATGTATTACTAATTTATTCTTCATTTTATCCAGACAGTTTTACCAATAATCCAGTGTTTTGGCAAAGGTTTATGTCCCGATGGAATTGACACGTTGGTCAGGATAGGTAACCCAATTAACCCTTTTTTCCTTGTGATGAAGCTGTTAGTTCTTTGAATGGTAGTTGACATTAGTCATTACAGGTGGACTTCTTGGAGAGAGTTTTACTGTCAAGCAAATTCTTCCCTTGCTTAGGAATGTTATACTCTCATGCATTGAATCCTCAAAGATCAATAAGCCTGAGCCACAACACAGTTGGAATTCTTTTGCCCTCATGGATGGCTTATCTGCATTGGAAGGCCTTGTATCAATTCTACCTGTCAAAACAATTCTTAGAGAGCTTCTTCAGGTATTTTGGTGGCAAACATAATTGAATTAATGACAATAAGGGGAGCAAAATGGATTGATTTTGGATTCTCTTTAATCACTACTAACTGAAGCAGTGAATTTTGAAACTGATCCAATTTCATACTCAGTTATCACTTGCTTGAGAACTATTTGATGATTAGGAGATACTGATTCTATAGTTTAAAACTTTTCATAAGGGCATAAGGTCTAATTGAAATCTACTACCTCTGTCCAATAAAAAAATGGATTTCTAGGGATTAAGGACAGATTAGGTGGATAGACAGATAACCACAGTAACCTTATATAATAAAATAAACACAGTACACGCACATATTCCATATATAAACTTGATTAAAAGGAAGGTTGAGACAACGGGTTAGAGATGGGATGGAAAGAAGCGAGATTACAAGGAAACATATTTTGATGTAATCAATTTGCTAGGTCCCACATTAGTAGAAATACAATTTTTTTGGGACGGAGGTAGTACATTTCAATGCCCAAATGCAAGACAACTCTCACTATCCATACCTTGAGAAAAGTTCATGTGCATTTCAGTATGCCCCCTTTGAGGTTATTCCACCATGGTCTTCAACTCATGTGCCTCATATGTGGCGGTTATTTTAACAAGTAGTCTGTATTTTGACTGAGATATAGTCACCAATTTTGGGGACAATAACAGGGGCCTACCTGCCAAGCTTCCATCCTCCTGTTTTTCCTTCCTCGCCCTATCTTCCCCTGAAGATTTGAAGCTGCAGGAGCAGCAGCACAATGCTAGCCCCATCCAGATTGGTTAAATATTTCATGTTTCTCACGCTTGTCACACCTCACCTCATCATGGCTTATCATGCAAAATACAGAGTTGCAGACTATGGAAATTGGAGTTCACATGAATTAATTCTAGGATATTCCATCATGAATGTATTGCATGCTAGTTCTGTATCTGATAATTGTTTTTTTTAAATAGTTTTGAGGGTGGATGCAGATGCCAATTATCATTTATTGAATTTTTGGTAATGATCTGAATAGAAATTATAAAACGTGGCTCGTCTGGGAAATTGTTACTGTACTAACATTGGAAATATAATCCAATGGCATCATATCCTTGCGAACTCTAAATGTACTAAATTCTTCTTCCTTTTGCCCACATTTACAGGACCAAGTCTGTCTTCATATAAAGGTTCTTACGCAGGTTCATTTGAATCTTCGTGTGATTCAGGCAATTACTCTTCACAGGCATAACTTACTCTCACTAGTTAATTTTCTATCAGAACAACATTAAATCATTGACGACAAATAAATTTGGTTAATTTCTGTGTTCTAAATTAGGTGGCTGCTAGTGCATTTGTTGATCTTTGTCAACAAATTGGACCAGAAAATACGGCTACATATGTGCTTCCACATCTAAAAGAGCTTTTTGCTGAACTAGCATTCTCTCATGAGTCTTCTGGTCTTAGCGTTCCTACAAAAGGGTTAAAGTTCTTCGATGGAAACAAAACAGAGCCAGCTAAAATGGAATCTAGGATTGATCTCGTGTAAGTAGAGTTTTATGTGCTCTGATATAATTAGCTTTACATACTTCATGACATTTACTTGGTGAGGTGAACTTTTGTAGGTTTCTCTTGTATCCTTTCTTAGCAGCACTTGTTGGAATAGAGAAGCTCCGTGAATGTTACTCTACATGGTTTCTATTAGAGCAAGCTCTTCAAAGATTGTATGGCTGGAAGGTATGGAAGGTTGCATTAGCTTCTGCAGTGTCGATTATCTTTTGTGTTATTGGGAGGGTGCCAGGAGGAAGAGAGAGAGAAAGAGGGGTTGGGGGGGTTACACCCTAATCATATTAGGGCAGTATAACACATAATAGCTATCCTAGGGATTGAAACATTGGTGATCGGGTGTGAACCCCTTATTTTAACGCTCATATGTCATGAGTTCCTTCACTTTTTTTTACTCATTGCTTTTTTTTTTAAGTGGCAGCCTTCCACTGACCATTCTGGCAGTAGTGAAAACATGAAAGGTCAAAGGTTTCGGTCTGGGAACTATACCTCATCTGAGCCTGCTCCTACAAAGCTTGTTGCAGAGATTGGTAAAAATGGTCGGAATATGACAGTCTCCAATCAAGGATCTAGGCTTGAGCATGGGTCATCTAGTGACAATTTGTGTGCCTCAACTTCTGGAAATCAACCATGGTTTTGGTTCCCAAGTCCTGATCGTAATTGTTGGGCACCAGATTTTCTTGGACGTAGTGCTGGTATGAAGGATGAACTTCCATGGAAGATCAAAGCTTCAGTCCTTTACTCAGCTCGGGCCCACCCTGGGGCTTTGCGGTCATTAGCTGTTCATGATGATGAGTGTACAATTTTTACTGGTGGAGTTGGTCCTGGTTTTAAAGGAAGTATCCAGAAGTGGGAGTTACCAAATATGAACTGCAGTTCTGGATATTATGGGCATGAAGAGGTCAGTTTGTCCTATTTCCTTCATTTGGCACTTTTCTTATTTTACTCTGCTACTACGATAGGATGGTTGTCTTTTCTGGATAACTACATACACCCTGTACTGAGGTCTGAGGAACACAGTATGCATTGCTGGTGTTTTGAGTGGTTTGGTGATATTATGTCCAGATAAAAGCAGGATTCACAAGGATGTAAAATATGCACTCTCCAGGATGTTCTGTACTTCTGCATAAGAGATTAAGAGGCATGATCTGCATGATACTATGATTGTGATCAGATCATGTGGTCCTGGTGCTCAAGTTTTGCTCCCTCTGTTCGGTTTTATAAGGCTTGTTTATTTCAGAAAGTCTTTAAGACTAAATTTTGACCATTAGTTATTTTTTCATAAAATATAGTATTTTTTAACAGCTATGAAACTAATACTGTTTGACAGTACTTTGAAGTACAAACGTGATCGTATAAGTTCTATACACTAAATGTACTTGTATGTTAACTAGTTATTAGTCAAACATTTTCAATAACAAAAAGAAAATGCAAAAATTATCGGTACAACTGCTTGCTGCCACAAAAAAAAACTGCAAAATAGACACAATGTATCTAGTAACAAGTAACATTCCCCGAGAAATGGTAAATTTAATGTTAAAAAATATATTTATTTGGTAAACTATTGTTGTGCCAAGTATTTAATGATAATATATTATATTTTCTTGCTCTACATCCATTTATTGTTGTGCAAAGTCTGACTCATTGATGCACTCACTAAATTAATCCATACCTGAAATATGAAGCCCTTTCTTTATGTGCAGACATTTTCTTGTCTAGTTAATTCTTATAAATTCTTCAATATTTGCGTAGGTTGTCAATTCTATCTGCATCCTGTCAATTACGGGAAAAGTGGCATCTTGTGATGGCACTATTCATATATGGAATGCACAGACAGGAAAACTCATAGCAGTTCATACGGAGTCATCTATTAGCTTTCCTCAGCAAACTGCATCTATTGAGCAGGCAAACATGCTTAATCAGGATGCCCTCTCAGGTGGAATATTGTCAAATGCATTTCGTGGTAGTTTATATACAACTATGCATTACATGGAATCCAAAGATAAACTTGTTGCTGGTATGGGAAATGGTTCAATCAGGTATTGCACTTTTTTTCTCAATTTTTTGGAATTAGTGCTTTAGCTGAGTAGAATGTGTGCATGGACAACAAGTGCCAGGTTGCACATGTGCACAATTTTGATCTTCGATAGATGCTGCCATATCAAAATATACAAAAAAAAAACTTCTACTCTTAATCAGGTCAATATTATGTAACATGAGTTTTACACATTCCATTTTTGTTTATTAGAGGAGTAGCCATTCAAACCTGAGAACATGTTTTGTTTCTCACCACCCTAGAAATGCTTCTGACTGTTGTATTGCACATTGATTGCGTCCATGCAGATTTATTGATATTTCTCAAGATCAGAAGCTGCATTTATGGAAGAGTGACTCAGATGAAATCTCTTTCTCATCGCTTGTATCAGCTATTTGCTCATGTGCCTCAGACAAGCTGAAGAAAGACAGCACTGTAGCTTCATCTTCCTGGATAGCAGCAGGTTTAAGTTCTGGTTATTGTCGATTGCTTGATGAACGTAGTGGAAATATTGTTGCAGTTTGGCGAGCACATGATGGTCACATTACAAAAGTATGTCTATTTTCTTAACAGGCTACTACCAAATGTCCACAAATAACCAGGAAACATGACGCGTCTCCTATTCTACTATCTGATTTATTTTCTATTTGCGCATACAGCTAGCAGCACCAGAGGATCACTTGATTGTATCAAGCTCCCTTGACAAGACTCTTCGAGTTTGGGACCTAAGAGGGTATTGCTCAGTTAATTTATTTATTCAATTTACCTAGTCTGATGCCTCCTTTGCTGATTAAATTTATACAACATATATTACCATAAGACAGAAGAGGTGCACATTTAATTTTTTTCCTTTTACTAGTGTTTTTTTTTTTTGGTAAATTTAGTGCTAGGATATTAACCATGACACTTATTACGCTCACAGCAGAGGCAATATATGCTTCAAGTTTAGATTATGTAATACTTATATTTGCCATAGCTTATAAGCTATTTTCACTTTGAACTTTCATGGTTTCTTAAAGATGTTTGTGGCAAATGTAACAGGAATCTATCAACCCAGTCAAACATTTACAGAAGTCACTCAGATGGGATCATTAACTTTTCTGCGTGGGGTCAGGATATGGTATCAGTTTCAAGAAACAAAATTGCATTAACTTCCCTTTCGAGGCCAACAAGTGAGGTATGTACTTTTTAATATTCACGCCTCCAATTACATGATCATGGAAACTTTGATATTTGGCACAGTAATATAGGTCCCTTTAGCAAGTTTTGGACATTGTGTGTGTTGGAATTCGATTGGTTCCCACAGAAGTAATCGTCGATGTATTGTCAATCTATCATGCAGATTGGACATCAGCAGCTCACATTTCAGTACCTCTATTCGTCTGATCGAGGAGTGAAATACAAAAACATGTCTGTTCTTTCGACTATTTCTGTGCTTCCTTTGTCAAGATTGTTTGTTGTTGGAACAGAAGATGGTTTTCTCAAAATCTGCCACTAGTTGCCTGTAGTAGCGGTAATCATCTCTTCCTCATTGAGTTATTTTTCTTTAGTGACACTTCTCTTCCTTGTATTGAATTAACTTTCTTTTTGGTGGTGCCTTGCTCATATACCCCACCCAATTTCATCAGCTGTTATTGTAGAATACCGCCAAAGCGATGTAACATGCTGTAAATTCCATGTGAGTAAAAGCTTCAGTTTTGCCTAATCTTCTCTGCAATAGCTCAGTGTTGTATACTACTTTCTTTTCTGTTGTAATGAAGCTGAAGCTTCTTTCCTCTACCCCCTAGTTTCAATAGTTTCTTAAGCTAGTCTCTTTGCAGTGGTTTTTATGGAGTGGGAAGATATCATATGTACTACTAGTATATATTTCATTGAATTTTAGCATCCCTTGTTGGATTTGGCCATAGCTGTCTTACAACTTAGCAATGAAGTATTTTATCAGTATTCAGAAGAGTGCTCCATTGCCTTAGTGTATGTGGGATATGTTCTGTTTGTAGAGACAGATCACAATGCAAGTATGGTAAAAGACCAGTTGTTCGTAGTGCTGAACTGCTGATTAGAGTTGGTCTGCATGAATCTGAACAGAGACCAAAGTTGTGGTAAAATGCTATCCTGATTAGCAATCTGCAGCTATATCAGAAGTGTTCTCCTTGGGACACTAATAGTCTTGTTAACCTCGCAATCTCTCCTGAAAACTTGCACACTTTGTAGGATTATGCTGTCTCCTTTTGCTCTTCCCTTGAGCAAGTGAGCAAACTGCCCTGTCGTTTTCTTATTGGCTTGTTCTGCTACAGAGCAACCTGATTTTCTGCATTTCTGCAGAGCTGACATGAATCATGGTAGCTGTAAATGCGGGTAGTTGCGTAACTCTGGTGGAGCTGAAGTAGGAGTAAATTGGAGCTTACTGCCCTGCCATGAATGCCTGTTTACTGCGCCCTGCAAGCCTGCAGCCCCTCATTTCCTTCCTCCTCTCATTTTTATTACACATTGATTGATATCTGCAGCAAGGCCCAATTCACCATCAAATTACTGCGTACCAATCACTGCATAAAAATCATTTTTAGTAAGGTCAAGCATTTGCTTTCTGGTCTACATTGAGCCTGAGCTGCACAACTAGAGCATGGAATTACACTATGGCTATGTTTAGATCCAAACTTTGTATCCAAACTTTAGTCCTTTTCCAGCACTTGCCTTGGATAGTGAGGAGGCATTTCATCATACAATGTATGGGAGACATTGTTGATCGTGTTCTCGAGGACTATGAAGACCAAGGAGTCATGAGTAGTGATCCTGTACTGGTTTAGTAGGGAAGCCTTCATATCAATCTGTCATACACATACAACTTTTCAGTCACATCATTTACAATTTCAACCAAAATCTAAACTTTGCCATCAACTAAACACAGCCTATCATGGTTTGCCTGTGGAAAGCCAATACTTTCTGGAGCTTTCGTACATTGTGCCTTGTGCCATTAGTCACTGACAGGTGGGTGTTGAACATGTGCATTCCTGCATGCATGTGGGGCCCACTTTCAGTGTCAGCCATAGGTGACTCCTCCAATCCAGTTCACTCATGCACAGTCCAGTAGCGTCCAGTGCCTACTGCTTCTGCTGCTTATAAGCGAGCGTCTTCACTCTTCGCAGCAGCTAGTTCTCCACAGAACACAACACAACCCAAGCAGAGCATTAGTTGATCGAGCACTCGAGCAGCTAGCTTAGCTTAGCAATGGCGGGGAGCAGCAGCGTCGGCGCCGTCCACCGCGCGGGCCTCGCCGTGGGGCTCCTCCTGCTCGCCGCCGGCGCCGCCGCGTGCCACGGCGCGAGGGCCGTCCCCGGCGAGCCGGAGCCGGCGACATACCGGCCGCAGAACGTGTACGGATTCGGCGGCTTCTACCCTGGCCCCAACATCAACTGGGTGTTCCCCGGCCCCAACGGCGTCACGCCGCAGGTCGGCTTCGGCGGGATGCCGGGCTCCTCCTCCTCCGTCTTCCCCGGCGCCGGTGGTGCCTCGCCGCTCACGCCCGGCGGCGGCGTCATCGGCATCCATGGCGCCACCAAGAAGCCGTGATCATAGGGCATCATGAGGCTTCTTGGCCCAACCCTCTTAAGTAAATAAGAATGACGAAGGCGTGCTTAGCTAGCTAGTACTATCTAGGTTCGTGTTATGTAGTAGTAGTAGGTGTTTAATTAACTTTGATCTGTATCCTGTATCTGTGTGTTGAAGTGTGTTGTTTCTGTGTGAAACTAATCTAGGTTGTTCGTGCATGCTGTTAATCTCATCTACATTTCCACTTCTTCAGAGGTTTACTGTCTACTAATGAAGTGGTGGGCTAGTTCTAAGTTCCATTCTTCTTATCCTTAAATTTTAGAGAAGTTCATATTTCAGAGGCCACGTACTAGTAAGGCATTAATCATTGCATAAAAAACCTAGATAGAACTTAGGGGTTATAAAATGAATAGCACATTGAGTTTAAAAAGGGAGAAACTGGAAGAAGACATTGGTCTCTTGTAGGTGGTTTTGCAGGTTGAAGAGATGTATAGCTTTTGGGCTGGGCGATGTTCTTTCGGTGGGCTCGTGTGCTTGGCAAATCTTGGCTGAGTTTGGATTTGTATGGACTCTTGTTTGCCTGAAACCCTCTGTTCTTCAGCTCTACAAATTGCTAAGCACCAAATAATAATAGCCATGCGTTGCACTTTTCCATGTAATGTGGATGTGGATTTAACAACTGAATCTGCTTTGCTAGTTCACAAGAACTGAATCATGCTATTTTATTACTAGTATGATATCTGTGCAACTGGTAATTACGTTCAATGTAGTCTATAATGGAAACTGAATGCGAGAACCGTTTCGGCAACATTTCGCCAAATTTCTTCCTTGATTTCATGACAGGTTCACACCAAAGCACTCACCCAAACACAAGCCAAAACAGAAAACAAATTAAAAAACAACAAGAAGAAAAAAACTTCTTCTCCAGCAACTCTTATTCTCGTTAAAAACAGCAGCAGCATACATCTAACAAGTAACAACACCGATCACAAACTTATTGCTGAAACCTCTGAAGAACACGCGACATCAGATCAGCTACTACCACCTTAATTAATTAGCTCGCTGCCACTTCATCCCCATCATCCATGGCGGCGGCGAGCTCGAGCTCGAGCTCAGCGTTGGCGCTCCTCTTGTTGACGACCCTGCAGTTGAGCCTGACCTCGCCCTGCGTCGTCCCGGTCTTCACCTCGATGCCGCCCATCTTCACCATGGCCTTCACGAACTTGCTCTTCCACCGCGTCTCGCTCTTGACGAACTCGTCCACCGACGCCCTGAGCGTGGCGTTGGTGAGCAGCGCGTGGTCCGACGTGAAGAGGCCCAGGTTGTTGGCGACCCCGACGTAGTACTTGTTGTCGAGCGCCGCCGGGGTGATCACGTCCATGTCCACCGTGGTGTTGGGGAAGAACTGGCTGCTGTTGGAGGGGCACACGGCGCGGAGGAGGAACGCGTAGGCGGCGCTGATCGCCGGGTCGGCGTCGCCGACGCCGGTGAAGTTGTAGAGGCGGCTGGTGAAGGAGTCGCAGTGGGAGACGCCGATGGTGTGGGCGCCGGAGAGCACCACCATGTCCTCCGCGGTGAGCGACTTGTTGGCGAAGCGGCCGACGAGCTCCGTGGCGTTGAAGGTGGGAGGGGGCAGGTTGTCGAGCGCGTCCTGGGCGATGGAGACGTTGCCGTCGCGGCGGCCGGCGGGGACCTTGTAAGTGACGTTGCCGGTGAGGGCGACGCTGTCGCGGGCGGCGAAGGCGAGGATGTCGGCGCAGGAGACGACACGCGGGCACGCCGCCTCGACGGCGGCCTTGGCGGCGTCGATCACCTCGAATCCGCGGAGGCTGGGGTTGTTTGGTGGCGCGGTCTTCTCGGTGTCGTTCCCGTCGATCAAAACCGAGGCGTCGCAGCCCTGCAGACATTGAGCAAAATTGAGAATTCTCTCCTTTCGTTTTTTTAGTGAGTAAACTACACGGCCGGTCATTAAAGTTGGAGCGAGGTATCACTTAGATTTATAAATTTGAAAAATCGACATTAAAGTCCACGATCTTTATTTTTCATGTTTCTCTTTACCATTTCCTTGAGAAATTATCTCGGTCCTTGAACTCTTTACCACAGTTTAAATTTCTCCCAGTTGTAGAAACGGATGAACTTATTTATTCATTGGCACTTCAGAATTCTCTTACAGTTGATATATGCTTCTATATTTCTTATTTCTTTTGGCATAGCTTAGATTTCATTAGCTTAAATCAATTTTTTTCTACCCCTTCACATTTTTAAATACACAATCTCAAATTCCAAGCCCACCCCTACGAGTCGGGATGAGCAAAGGAGGAAGGGCGAGTGGGTGCGATTTAGGGGGGACGCAAAGGGTGAGACGTGATGGGAAAAGAGATCACAATGGAAGGGATGGACCAAGGCCAAGTGAGGTGTAGGAAGATGACGTGTATATAATGGGTACAGCGTGGGTGGCTGGAGAGAAAAGGAACCAAGTGAGATGAGAGGGGCCGCCGGGCCGGGGTGGGATGAGAGCAACTGGTTAATTTTGTCTCGTTTAGAATAACGACGTTTGAACGATTTTAGTGCTATGACAACTTCCCATATATATCCCATTGAACAAATTAAAGTAATTAATGACCCTTTAGTTCCTAGGCACATTATTATAAATCATCGGGTTCTCTATGGTTAAATTATGCCGTTATATAGTAGTGGATTAAGAGCTCTATGGCATCTTTTTTCCCCATGTTTTCCCATATAACATTTCATCCCAAGAAACGTAGGTATTTCTAGTCTGAAATTTTCGCTGCCAGCATTGCAGGGGTGCCAAGGGAGAGGGGGTCAGCGCTAGTGTTATTGGCGCCGAATCATAGGAGTGTATCTAATGTGTTTGTCACGTTGCTAGGAGTGTATCTGCTAAGAACCTATTTACGTGACTCTTTTTTCTTAAAAAAAACAAACTGGTTGATGTTGGCACGTTGCCATCTGCTCAGCCTGTTTTCATGACCGTACCCTGATGCTAAAAATGTAGCCATCAAGTAACCAGTGTAATTAATTGTACTAATCAAGATTCAGCGGAACATGTGTAGTGTGTGTACACGGACGCCCCAATGCCAAATTTGATTTGTTTGTCGACAGTTTGGGAGATGAGTCTAAAAAACGAAGTTTGGGAGAGAAGGCCGGCCGGATCAAGACAGTATATAATAAAAGTGCTTCTGTCTAAGATGACTTTTTCTTAATTCGGTCCCTGAAAAATATTGAGAGTTATAGATGCCTGTAGTATAAGTTAGGAGAGATGAGGGGTAAAATTAGTCAACCTCTTGAGACGAATGAGAGTTGATTAGGTTTATTATCGTCATATGGCGGTGGATCATCCTATTTAAGTCGTAAATTTAGCACGGATAATCTTCTTAAATTTACTCTTACGTGAGGTTAGGCCTCCCATGTAGTCAGATGCACGCGTAAGACTTGTACTCGAAAAAAAAAATCTACTTCTTGAGAGCTCTTTTTCTTCTTAAGTTGTCGGCACGATCTAGTCAATTATGCAGGTATAAAAAGAACTAGATGCATGTGATTAATTTGTATGCAGATTGCAGTTAACTGAAAGTGACGATATATTGATGGCATGCCCTTTTCAATATGCTATTGTTCTACCTTTGCTGAAAGAGACATATTATATTAGAAATAAGTTTCCAATGTTTCAATTTTCAAACTATATATAAGCTCTATCATTTTTGGTTGGGGCATCCCATGGTATGAAGGACGTGTTCTTTTTTTTTTCCATAATCCATGGATTATCCCAGACACACTTCCCAAGTTCTTAATTTATCATTATTAGCCACAATTAAGAATCAACGGTATCAACTTTTGTTTTAAAATTTGGCCACTAATACGTTTGGAACTCTATATATGTCTTCTGAAGAAAATATTTCATTGTTTTTTTTGTTATAAATACTTCCACAGTGTTATAATTCTATTATTATACTTTGATGTAAATTACAAAAAGTGATCAAAATCATTTGTGAAGAGCGCAAAAGTCAAAAAGTGAAGTAACCTAGCATTGGGACAGTACTATCTCTGGTAAATGGAGTCGTCTGTGACTTTTCCAAGTCAACAGAAATGCTACTACTGTCGAACTGAATTTTATATATACTATCATAATCCAAAAACTGTTATAATTAAAATTACAAAATATATGTGGTCTTCTCCATAATCCAAACCACACGTATTTTAGACAATCTATGTGGTCCAAATTAATATATCTTTTTTGAGGAACCAAATTAATTGCTATATTCTTTTTTGCGCGAAAAAAATTAAAAACGTTAACAACCATAGTTTGACTGCAGCACACATTATAGAGCAACATGATTTTGCGAACTACAGTGATCTGATTTTTAAACAGTGATATGCCGATCTTTTACAACATTTAGTCATAAAATATATCCCAGCTAACTCTCCCAAGTGTATAATCTGAAAAATTGACACCTTCTATTTCTGTTATAACGTTTCAAAAAGAAAGTTTTTATCGTTTTTGTACAAAGAAAAAAACAAATCAATTAACCACTGTTCTTGCACAAAAACAGTGCAGGTATAAGCAAAACTAAATTAAGATCATGATCTGGATGAACACGTACTCTGACAAAGCAGTCATGGAAGTGCAGGCGGATGAGGCCGGGGGCGACGCCGCTGTTGTTCTTGAACGCGGCGGCCACCGCCTGCTGCACCAGGCGCTCCGCCGACGGGCACGTCTTGTTGTAGAACCCGACCTTCAGCCCGGCGCCGACGGCGGCGCCGGGGAAGAAGGCGACGAGGAAGGCGAAGAAGAGGAAGAGGCACTTCATGGCCATGGATCGCTCAGAGCTTAGCTATAGCTAGCTGCTTGCTGCAGAGGTTTGCTAGGTATTATGAGGTGCTTATATAGCATAATAATGGAGTGGTTTTTCACTATTTTTTTCCTTTTGGAAATGAAAAAGGAGTGGATTTACACTAGAAATCAAATTAATTAAGGACTAGCTTGTCAAAGGGTAGGTAGTGGCTAGGGATGGCAATCGGGCGCGACGGGCACGGGTAGTGCCTACCCATACCTATGTCCGTGAGATTATTTGTGCCCGTGGGTATACCCATTACTACATGACGGGTAAGGATGGTTGCCCATGCCCATTGCCCGCGGGCGCCTTATGCCCACGGGCGCGCCCGTTTACCCGCCACATCAAAAGCAGTGGAACAAAAAGTCTACAAGCTACTAAGTTCGAATCGAACTTAAAACATCAAATATTCTCCGCCTCGGTGTCGTGTCTCTCCTCTGGCGGCGATAGAGTAAGAGGAGAGAAATAATAAGGGAAATAAAAGGGAAACCGTAGAAAACAAAGAATGTGGCTTATGTATTCTAGTAGATTTTGCTCATAGCCTACATGTAAGTTAGATTTCGCGGGTAAACGGGCAAAGCGGGCATGGGTAGTGATTACCCATACCCATGCCCATTTACCCATCGGGCATAGCTTTTGACCCAATAAGATACCCATGGGTATAAAATGGAGAACAAACCCAACCCTAATAGGGTTTTTACCCGCGGGTAAACGGGCAAACGGGCACAATTGCCATCCCTAGTAGTGGCAGTGCCAGAAATTGGGCGGGTACATACCTGAGCTAATTAATATATTTTGGGTAACAACTCCGTTTTAGATTATCTATTTGTCGTAGCAATATTTCTTGGACCAAATAAGTATAGACACGGAAAATTACATTGTTACCATTGTTAAGTACATCTATTTTTTTTTTACAAATTAGTCATTAACTCTGATTAGTAACTGTGCATGCATGGCTGCATTCCCCGCAAAAAAAATAGAATATATACGAGAAAAACGCTTTAAATATATACGAGAATAACAAATATTTGATAAAAGAATTTAATATGCTAGAATTAGAAGTAATTTGAAATGGGTCGAGTAGCCATCTTATATACTACCTCTATTTTTTTAATATATCACGCCGTTGATTGTTTGAAATACGTTTAACCATTCATTTTATTTTTAAAAATATATAGTTATCATTTATTTTGTTATGAATTGATTTATTATTAAAGGTTTCTTTAAGCATGATTCATATTTTTTATATTTGCACTTTTTTTTAATAAAACTAATAGTTAAACCTATATATAAAAGTTGACGGCGTCATATATTAAAAAAGATAGAGTATTTAAAAATTTTCACAGATTTTTATATGGACTAACTAGGATTAAAGTGATAAGCCTATGGATAAAGCTAATTATATATCCTAGTCTTCTCTCCATTCCCCAAGAGTATTTGTAAGTAAAAGCTGCATGATATACATCGATACTCTACACAGCACAAGTGGATCCATTTGCTTGCTTTTCTTCTTTTTCAGTTCTTTTTTACCAACATGCTCCCTGCCATGCTGCAAAGCAGCCAGGCCCATTGGTGTATTTCCAGCCACTGCATCTCAGAGCTAGGCTGGGTCGATCTCCTTTTCGTTTGTGACCTACTAACCTCAGAGCTAGCATTGATGACCAATTTTGCCCGGTCCCAATGGAAGAAAAAAATAGTTGATTTCGGTACCAAGTTGATGAGAGAATCGTTGCAGCTACAGCTGAAAATATTAGTCCTAGTACAGTACGTAGCACCTGCCGTCTTCAGCTGAATATTAGTATTTAGTACTATATATATATCTCAGCTGATCGATGCTGGTTTTAGCTATTTTTCAAACAAGAGTAGGTGAGTGAGTACATCTTGATTTGATTCATTTGAATGTCTGTCGGCGTCGATCTTCTCCCGGAGTCCTGATGAACAGATAAGGGATGAGATTTAGTACACATGTAGGAGTATTACTCAAGGATTTCCAATTGATTAGCTTCATGATTTGACACATGTTCATGAATCTTAGTACACATGTATGTGTCTAGTGGGGTATATATACGTGGTGTGGCCATGCTCTTGTTGTTTGAAGGCGTGTGTCAACAACTTGTACGTCTGTAAATTAATAATTGTGTCTATAATTAACGTTGAAAGTGTATATTTTCATTGAGAAATGATTTGCCTTGGACGTCATTGTTTTTTTTATATTGCAATCAGTATTTCTGAATGTCATATCTCGTTGAAAAAAACATTTTTCACTGTTGATAAAACATTCTAAATAATTCTTGATCAAAGTGACGAAACATCGTTTGACGTTTTGGCTAGGGTGAGACGTCCATTAATTTTCGTTATTTTGAGGGCTTTGATTAAGTCCTTACTATTTCGGTGAAGTTTCACATGCGGACTCTGCTCATGGAAATGGTCACAATTAACTCATATATGGAAGATCACACTTAGCGCGAGATATGAGTGATTATTTATGTTGAATCACGTACGCTGCGTCTAGTTTAAATAATCAAATTATTCAGAAGCATCTCCTCCGCTTTTCTTGCTTTACTTGGTTTCACATGATGCCCGCATTCCCAGTTTAAGAATGGCATGCAAAATGTTTCAAAAACAGAAAAAAAAAAAAAGAAGAAGAACGGAATGCAAAAGCCAAAAGAGTAGCTAGTTTGGTAAACACAGAATATATTCTTTGCTTACCATGCTATATATATATGTTGCTATTGTAAACTAAACAAAAAGTGAAAGAAGGCCTGATCCGCTGGCAATCTAATATATTAACTGAACTTTATCAGAGTAATAAGTAGCTAGACGTGTGTTTTTGCTAGCTGATATTAAGCAGTACACTCTTCATCCCAAAATATAAGTGATTTGGCTAGTACTATAAATCTATATATTAAAAGATTGTCTAGATTTGTAGTATGAGAATATGTCACGTACGAAGGATATACATTATTGCGAGATGAAGATGCACGGTACGGTGGCAGGTGCGGGGGTGCTGCCCGCCAATACATTTTAAGATTATGAAAATAAATTTTATTTACCTTTCAAGGTAGTTTTTTTTCTCCGATGTGGAATTCAATTTAGCCTCTATGACATGATGTATCTGGCCATTTTAATGCAGATATTTTATAGCTAGCATTTTATAGTTTCAAAATAAGTATTTTAAAATTTATCAAAATTATAAAAGTTTACTTAAAAAAGTCAAACAGCCTATATTTTGATTAGTATCTATACACACGCAGACAACATGATAGGGGACGAAAATTGTGTCATGCATGTACACGTATTTTCGTTGACCTGGAGTTCACCCAAGCACACGGTCAATTTCGATATTTCGATCACGGGGATCACGGACTCGATCATGATTTTAATTGCAAAGGCTGACTTGTTTTCGTCGACAAAGTCTGACGACCAGAGCCGGCCACCCGGCCGGCCGGATCATTTAATTTCAACTGTTTGAAATTATTATTCCCCCGTGTTTAGTCCACCCTCAAGTATCCCAAACTTTCAACTTTCCATCACATCATATCATATCCAAAACTTTTCTACACACATAAACTTTCAATTTTTTTCAAACTTTCAAATTTTCCCAAACTTATAACTTTTTTCAGGAACTAAACACACCCTAGTTCACCATAATAATGGAAGTACGAGAGTGTACTACTCGTAGGCGCACATGCTCAATTTTAGTGTGCACTACCATTTAAATAACCGTAATTTTTTTTAAAAGAGTATATATTATTAGTATTCATTTGTTATGGTTTAATAATGTTCTATGCATAAATATGCTCCAATACATTTTTTTACCCAAAAATAGAAGCCGGATTTATGGGTACCGGATCATAGGTGCTGCTTTATTTCAAATAGGCACCTATATATTGACATTTTCCCATCTCAGCGCGCGGGATGAAAAAAATAAAACCGGCACTCTTGAGTAACTATAGATGCCGGTTCTAGAGAAAACCGACAGCTATACTATTGACCCTGCTTTTTAAAGACGACATTTATAATATATAGGTGTCGATTTCTTTAAAAAAATGACACCCATAAAAAACTGAGCCGAGCCGAGCTGTACTGATCCATTCTTGTTCACTTGCCCTGCCACCCTATTGCGCGCTCTCTCTCTCTCTCTTGTTTTTGCCCGCCACTCCGCTTAATTTCTCCCATCCTCCACCTCCCCCTTCCCCTCCCCCTCCGGCCTCTTACTGACCACAACAACGAGTGGCGCGCCTCCACGCTCGGTCGCTACCTCCCTATCATCAACCCTCCCTCCCACCTTCGTCACCATCCATGCCATCGTTCTCCCCATCCCCACCTCCATCATGTCCATGCGCCACCAGGATCCCGTCAAAGCGCTGCTCGCCTACTCCCCATCCCCACCTCTACATCGCCTCGCCGCCTGATCTCGCTATCGACGCAGGTGAGTCCTCTCCTCATCCATTTTTCATGGCGCCGCCGTCTCCTCCTTCTCCTCCTCTAACACGTCGCTGTCCTCCTTGTACCCATCTAGATGGCCGCTAAATCCCGTCGCCCATCGCTATCTGATCCCATCGCCAAGGCTACGAGCTAGCCGATGCTGTCTCCATCTGCATCGCCGTCCTCCTCGTGCCCACCTCCATCAGTTGCGGTGGCTCAACTATTTGCGACCGGGGATCAAGAGGGTAAATGTCTCTGGCAACGAGGAGGAACTCAATCTCAGGCTCCATACTCTCCTCGGTACTATTAACAGTGAAATTTGGTAAGCCCCAAAGTTATCATCGGCCTAGAGTCAGTATTGGTTTCAAAGGCCTGGAATCGGCCGATGGGAATTATCAAGTCGCCCATAGTCATATTCTTGCTATATTCGGTTATGAAAATTAATCTAAGCTTATCCAGAATTGACCGAGTTCAAGAAGGATGCGGCATGGCAAATTATCTAATAATTAGGAAGAGTTTATTAGTTTCCTTTTATCTTTAGGAAAGTGTGTTTAGTGTCCAATAAGAACTTTATGTTTTCCTTTTATCTTTAGGAAAGTTTATTTCTTGTCCAATAAGGACTAGTATCTGCCTATGGGTATAAATATGTACACCTGGGGTTATTGTAAACTATCTCACAGATCAATACAACTACTTTCGGCGCATCACCACCCTCTTTACCAAGGTTTTTATTTATCATCCCGCGGAACTTGGCACCTGACGTGGGGCTACATCGGCTTTCGATATCTGGCGAAGGGGTAAGTCCTACGCTCCGCCGGCCCTGGCAATTGTATTGGCTACGTTAGTGTTGTTCAAGGCTACCTCTTGGATCGCTTTGGTTTAGTTGGTATGTTTGTCTACCTACTTATCATAAATATCTTAGTTAATCTAGTCTTAGTATCTCAATTTAGTCATATCGGCCGATTCTCGCTTTAGGGTTAATGCCGGTATCGGCTAAATTGCTTTAGTAGATTAGATTAACTAAGGTATCCACCACCCTGAAAATTAGACATAAGGGTTTCATCGGGGTTTCAGCCGATGAGTTATCTGGACGTTGCATCGGCTTATAAGGATTACATACAAGTTGAATTTAACCGATCGCAACAAAGGTTTCACTGCTTATCTAATCTTGTGGATTTAATGACATTGGACCTCCAGCCGATATATGCTTTGACCTTCGGGTCAGTACTTATTCTATCATATCATTGTTAGCCAATTGATTTCTACTGGATTATATTATTGTTCTATTATATTACCATCAACCGATTGTTTTTATATCGTTATCTACATTGGACATATAGCCGATAGAGCAAAATCCTATCGCTATCGGCTGGTATCGGCATCGGCTAGAATCACTCCATCGGTTTGTCAGATCACGCATCTCATCAACCTTTGGACCTGCACTGGAGCTAAGCAGATCTCCTAGGCCGTTGTGTTCGTCGACTTAATTCACGTCAACACGGTTCCGGCACTATCGGTGAGCGTGGATTTTTCGTCAACAGGTACCTGGTTCCCTTTGTTTTCTGTTAATTCAGTGAATCCCTAGCCAGGGTGGTGGGCATGGCATCCACCACAGTGGTGGCTACTTTTTCTTTTGTTCCGAACATTATAGGTACCGATTTTGAAACCAACACCTATGCCAACGGACATAAGTTCCCCCAAATCGGAACAAGTTGGGAAAACGACACCTATGGTGGGGTCCTATGGTGGTTTCCCAACCAGTATCCATTTGGGGTCCTGTAGTAATGACATGTAAAGGGCATCTCATGTGTTGTCAGCATTTGGTCCGTACTCCATCTCTTGCATCCATGCCAGCGAAAGGGGGAAGATGACTCATCTCTCATCTTTCTCTAATAAGATCTAGGGTTTTCTCTGAATAAGTGTGTACAAGTTTTAGATCTACTAAATATATTTTTGTATGTCTTTTAAAATACTCATGAAACTATATTTGTCTAGAGTTTTCTTTTTTTTGCTTTTCTTTGTTGATGTTTCCTGCTTTCACTAGATCATCAATGAAGACATAGGAAGGCATGTCTACCGATGATCCAATCGGTGGTGCTAGCTCTAGGGTCTGGGTTGATCACCAATTTGTTTGGTGGTAGGTTGCAAGATTCGCCAAAGGATTGAAGATGGTGATTGATACAAGTTCATGTACTTTTGCACGTGCCAAAGTTGGCTAGTATTGTTGTTTGCGCTCATCTACTCGCACCTCGTACATGTTCCAAGATGTGGAGTATCTTTTTTTTTGTGGCGCCAAATTTTACATCTCTTATTGTAAGAAGATGGTTGTAGTCATTTATCATATCTAATATAATTAACCTTTCTTTGAAAAAAATGTTTTGATAGCACTAATACGGAACTGCTAATTAAATCGCATTGCCCTATATCGCTACTGGTTGAGGAAAACTCAATATTAATATGGGTTTCTCGTCCACCCACCCAGCCCATGTCATATACGGGCAATAATCGGCACTAGTAACATCACATCAGTGCCGATCATTAAGATGACCAACATTAAGAATATTACTAACGATTCATTAAAAAATCGGCACTGATGGATATCGAGCCGACCTAAGCTGATAAGTTGGTCGATCGATCGGCGTTTTAAGGATGATTTAGGATTATCTCTCTCAATCTCTATGCCTCCCTCTCACTCTCCCCCCTGATGCTGCTGCTGCTGCCGCACCTCCACCATGCCACCACTGTCGTCGAGTAGCTTCCCTCTCTACCCCGCCACCACGTTCCCCTTTCCCCCTCTCTCCATATCTATCTATCTATCTATCTATCTATCTATGCCTAGATCAAGCGAATTGAAGGAGTTGGCAAGTCGGTGAGGGAGATTGAGTGGCTTGACCAGCGGGTGATGATGGCGTCACCCATCCCCCCTCTTGGTAGGGGCAGATCTGGCTGGTGCGGCCTGCTCGAGCTTTTAATTTGGATCTAGTGTGGAGCGGGTTGTAGGAGCTATAGGTGGAGAACGCAACAATACATATCTAGGGAAGATGAGAAGATGGTCTTGGGAAGAAGATGGAGGAGACGAGAATTGGAAAGGCTACACCGAGGGTCTCTTGCTTCAAATTTGGACTTGGACCTGCTACCCCGTCAGTATGAAGAGGGAGCAAAATGACTACCACGGCTTGAGGGAGACGACGATGGCAATGGAGATGGATGATGGCGTTGACAACTCCTCTACAACGACAGAGGTAACTCCAATCTGGTGTTGGTGTTCTTGATGTTGTGTAACATAGGTGGTAAGTCCAATCTAGTGCTGGTGCTGGTGCTCTTGATCTATTGAATGTGTGTAACAATGTTGTTCTTGACAATGGGGATTAGTTTTGAATATGTAATTGAATCCATCTAATATTGTATATGATGTTTATTGACGAATCTATTTTGTTGTCAAGTTTAATCCAATGTGATGTTTGGTCTTATGTTTTTTACCTGTTCTTGAATGCGGATTGATTAGAGGGTATGGATGTGGATGTGAATCTCATAGTGGCGCTCAAAGCATTGGCTCGGCTTGATTCTTCGAGCTGGCCCTTTTTTTTTTTTTACTCGTGGAAGGACATTAGTGCCGGTTTTCATGAGAACCTAAAGAGGGTTGGTTGGGGAACCAGTACAAAACAGGTTTCTATATATATATAGTGTACATTTATTTAATATACTTGTGAAATGAAAGAATTAAGAACACAGACAGATACACATAGTCTTTCATACTTATTTTGAATAGCCATTGATCTATTTTTTCTATGTACACGTATGTTTTTGGTGAATTATGAGTAGCGCCGTAATTTATGCATGAACATTTATTCATGCATGGTAAGTTGGTAACTTGGTAGGTGTTCTACTTATTACCAGCTGCCGGCCATCTTAATTATATACTTGTATACGTGCATCGTTCATGGCAGAGTCACTACACACATCAAGTAGGTGCAAACAAAGCCTTCATCAACCAACCACACTTGCCCTGGCCGTACAACACACAGTGCAAGTGCGTGTCATGCATTATTAATTTTACATTATCATCATATATATGACGTATATTACATGGTCAGCAAGGGTATAGCTTAGCTCGCGGCGACCTCACCGCCGGCGCCGGGGAAGACGGTCTCGATCATCCTCCCGGCGGAGGACGACGACGACGACGAGGACGGGTTGACGGCGCTGCAGTTGAGCCGGATCTCCCCCCGGGCGCCGGTGAGCACGTCGATGTTGCCCATCTTGATCATGGCGGCGACGAACTTCTCCTTCCACAGCGTCTCGTTGGCGGCGAAGGCGTCGACGAAGGGGAGGAGCGTGGCGTTGCGGATGAGCTGGTCGTCGGAGAAGTGGAGGCCCAGGTTGAGCGGCAGCAGCTTGTAGTAGTTGTTGTCCAGCGTCGCCGGCGTGCTCACGTCGATCTCCGTCGTGATCGGCGTGAACCGCCCCGTCGTCGGCGGGCACAGCGCCTCCAGCAGCGCCTGGTACGCCGGGCTAATCGTCCCATTCGCCTACACCGGGAAAAATCATCACCACACGTATACTATCAGTAGAGATATGTATGTATGTATGTGTGTGTATATATATATATATATATATATATATGTATATGTATGTATGTATGTGTGTCTATATATATATATATATATATATATATATATATATATATATTTTCTTGCGTACTCCCTCCGTCCTAAAAGAAATAAACCCTATAGATAAATCTGGACACAGAGGGTTTGATTTTTTTTCGGAGGGTATATCATATCATCTTAAATAGTTATAACTTGCTTTTAGTCTATTGATTAAATTTAAACTGTATGCTCATAAAGTGTTATATACTATATTATTAGTCTTCTAAAAAATAATAATCGTTTTGGCGTCATGAAAAACAAGGGCAATCATTTAATGCAGAAGTTTTCTTTTCTCACGTACCAAACGTTCACGGTTCTTGAAGAGGAAGGAGGCGCAGTGCGAGCGGCCGATGGTGTGGGAGCCGGAGAGGATGACCATCTCCTCGGCGGTCAGGTTCCTGAGCTTGAAGCCGTCGACGAGCTGCGTCGCCGTGAGGTTTGGCCCGGGGAGCGTGAAGGCGTCGGTGTCGATGGAGACGTTGCCGTCGCGGCGGCCGGCGGGGACCTGGTAGAAGGAGTTGCCGGTGAGGTTGACGCTGTCGCGGGCGGCGAAGGCGAGGATGTCGGCGCAGGAGACGGTGCGCGGGCACGCCGCCTCGACGGCGGCCTTGGCGGCGTCGATCACCTCGAAACCCCGGAGGCTGGGGTTGTTCGGCGCCGCGTCGCGCTCCGCCGTGCCGTTCGGCGAGAAGATCAGCACTGATGCATCACACCCCTAACCAATGACGACATAAATAAACTTTTTTTAAATTAATAATTAAATAAGAGTTTTTTGGAAATGAATAAAATAAGATTTTGAAGGTAGTAACTATAAATATGGGAATAACTATATATATATAACTTTCAGATATGTTCACTTTGATGCCATTTTCAATCTTACCAAATTTTGGTAAAGTTGCTAAAAAAGTAGCTACATTTAGTTTGCTGTCAAATTTTGGTAACTATGCCAAAATTTTGGCATTGTCAAAATTTGGTAAGGTTTTTTTTGGCATCAAAGTGAACAGGCCCTTCATATTGTCTAAAAAGATAGGTAAATACTCCTGATTAACATGTTACATGTATATGCATGAGTCTATATATTCGACGCAGATATAATAGTAAGTACGGAAAACTCAAATCATCCCTAGTAGTGCTAAGTTAGTAATAAATTATAATATATTGTTACACCTTCATCTCAGCATAGTAGTTAAGATTTTCTTTTGCAAATGGAAGATCCCCTATCTCCCATCCATAATTAGGGACTTGGAAGATAGAATTATTAGATCTAGATGAAAGATGGCAAACGCATGCTTTGAGTTAAGGCCGATAAATATTTCTTCCTTTCTCAACGTGATCAATGGCATATATGTATGCATGGTATTACCCCATCTCTATATGCAAAGTTATAAACGAATATATACCATGTCTGATTGTTCGTAGTAAGTACTCGTGATCCTCAAATGTTGGTCAATCTAGATATAGATAAGCAAACAAAGTACGACAGCAGCCGTCCATCCAATTAATTAATCCGTTCACATATTGATGTATCTATAGCTACCCCATTAAACCGGGGAAACATCAATTCGTGTGCTCTTTGCACGTAGCAGGGTCCCGGGGTCCCGGCTAAGTATGCAAGTGGAATTAAATCAACTGTGAAATCACTTATAATACAAATAAATGGGTTGGTTATCCATTTGTTTGTACTATACACAGATGCAAGTGAGTAGACCCGTGAAACCACTTATAAATGAGTAGGTAAAAAACATTAATATAGGGACTACCTATACATTTGTCGACAAATTTTTCCCAAAATTACACTACGATTGTACTGTAATTACATCTGTCAAATTTTTAGGGAAAAATTTATCGACAAATATATAGCAAAATCGTCCCTCCGTCTAAAAAAATAAATCTATGATTGGATGTGACATATTATAATACAATGAATCTGGACAGAGATATGTCCAAATTCATAATACTAAGAGTATCACATCTAGTACTATATTGGTTTTCATGGGATGGAGGAAGTATGCCATACAAGTTGAAGAAGACCTTGACATATCATGTTTGCGAACTCGGCATATCATATGCACAGCATCTAAAGGTACAACATCACTGCTAAATTAATTAGATAGCTGTTGATTAGGCCTATGTTATGTGTCTGTGATGTGTAAATTTGTAACTGTGTACGGCGGTAATCACTATCTAGTTTGGAACAGCCAAGAAATTAAACCAGTCTCTAAAATGTTCTCGAAACCATATTTCACATATATTACCAACCTTTCAAGAGGAAACTTAACTCCATATTCCTTTTTTTTTAAGCTGGAACTTAACTTCATTTTTTAATATGAAACTGGCAGACGACAAAAAAAAAGAGATAAAAACTAGAAATTTATATTTTCCATTGTGAATAATATTATCATTCTTCAAAAAGTATAGGGAGGTATCATATGTTTTCTGGTGCAAAATGGTACCTCAAAGTATTAGTACCTCGTGGTATCATTTTTAATTCGTACAAAATTGAAGTACCTTAAAGTATTATGTTAAGAACCGTAATTTTTCTTTCTTTACCATTTGTTTTTTCTTGAAACATCTCGTTTTTGCTAACTATGTCACAAGCAAAGTAGACTTTGGTCTCGAAACTTTCTATGATTGTCTCACAATACGTATCAACCTCCCTACATATGGGAAATTGTTTTTTATTTCTTAGAACTTTTAAATGAAAAATATTTCAAGGTTCCAGCAAGTTAAGCTAGCATGTGATTTCAACCACATATTTTCACCTGTTTGATTAGCTAGAATGGCCGAGCAATCACCATCGACCTAGGACAAACATTATTTTCAAGTAATTCTGGTACAATTAGCTAGTACTCTTTGATACAAAAATGGATATTCGGAATCTACAATCTCTTTTTCAAAATGGAGAAATATAATCGATCTATCACTGTCCAACTGGCAGCATTCATACTGCTTCCATGAAAGGTCTATGTATCTTGAAATCCAGAAATCGTGTACAACACACACTTGGGCTTCCCAAAGCATCGATCTTCATACGAGTATCCTTGCTACCGTTCAAACGAATTGTCACCGTACATTCTCCGGCGGTTCACATTGATTAGGTAACAATTATTTTTTGATGCAATTAATAAAACTGATTTATGGATTTTTTTTCTACGGTGCAGTGTATAAGGGTGTGTTTGGTTCAGGATCATACATGGATAGGATATGACCATCTATATTTTGTTGGATATGGTGATCCAATTTTTTGTTTGGTTCGTATGTATATGGCGATCCAATTTCTTATTTGGTTGGAGGGATATAGCATGTATGAGAAAAGACAAAAGTTAGTGGGACCCATTTGTTATATATATTTTTATCAAAATATAATCATCCGACATCTTATTTTAAAGATATAATTGTAACAAATGTAATGATGTAATCAAATCATAAATTAGGTAAACGATTTGGGAGAAAAAAATCATTTGGAGCTTGCTTAACAGAAAATCAAACAAACCACAACCAATCAGAATAGGACACGTCACCCATACCAAAATTGAATGGCTTCATCCAGCCAAATCGCACTCATCCAGCACATTGAGGGAATATTCCCTATTTCAGGCTGCCCCATCCACCCTTCTCTCCAATCAAACACCACAAAAAATCGGGCTGCCATCTCCCATCCAGAACTCATCCACCCAACCAAACACACCCTAACTGGCGGCTGCCGCCCCTTCGAGGCGAGTAGCTAGATTTGTCCTTCTCTTTCTTGTTAATTTTTAGGAAAAATCCTCTCTTCCAACATCTATATAACAAATCTGTTTTATTATGACCAATGAGCATCCTTTCATTTTATATTATAAACCGTCTTATAAGTCCGTGCTAAGTCAGTCTTCTTTTAAGCTTGACCAAATTAAGTTCATGAAAAAATGTAATAGTATTATTTTTAACACATGACAAGCAAACTATTAAAATATATATTAAATAATAAATTTAATAAAACTAATTTAGCATTTTCAGTGTTACTGTATTTTTTTTCTTATGAACTTAGTTGAACTTAAATAAATCTAACTCAGAACAAACACAAAGAAAACAGAGGGAATACTACATATGGACTGCTACCTAACTCCATCGACCAAGGATGCATCAATTTAGGTACAGATGATCGACCAGAATAGAAGCTATGTAATAAACACGGAAACACGGAGCGGTCCATTAGCACGTGATTAATTAAGTATCTGCTAATTTTTTTTCAAAAATAGATTAATTTAATTTTTTAAAGCAACTTTCGTATAGAAACTTTTTAAAAAATATGTACTGTTTAGCAGTTTAAAAAGCGTGCGTGTGGAAAACGAGGGAGATGGGTTGGAAAAAAGGGGATGTAAACAAGCATGCATATATGTATGTTTCCGTTCCTTTTTATATCAAAGCTAATAAAAGTTAATTCCCTGCAGTTTTCTTTACTGTAAACCTTTTCGTCCTAATTATCAGTTCAAAGCAAATTAAGGTTTAGTTGCTGTTAATTAACTAAGCAAGCTGCAGCTTTATTTTACATGTACGAGTTGGAGAGAGACGAACCCTGACGAAGCAGTCGTGGAAATGGAGGCGGATGAGGCCGGCGGCGAGGCCGGAGTTGTTGGCGACGGCGGCCACGACGGCCTGCCGGACCAGCGCCTCGGCGGTGGGGCAGCTCGTGTTGTAGAACCCCACCTGCAGCTGCGCCCGGCTCGCCGCCGGCAGCGAGCACGCCAGCGCCGCCGCCAGCAGCATCAGCCCGGCCAGCCACTTGCTGCAGCTCGCCATGGATTACAACCAAGGTTAATTAGAGTAAGCTAGCTACCACTTGTGCAGCTGTGAGAGAGAGATTATATTGCTCGAAATGGTAGCCATTATCACCGGCATTTATAGAGAGGTTGGCTGCAGTATCTGCTTACTTAGCTCTCCTGTTGATCACGATTAATTCAAAATCCTAGTGATAATTAATTGATTTTGTCATTGAAAAGCGTCAGAGAGAAAGGTCGTAGCTAGCTAGCTACTACTCTTCAAATTTACTAATCATTTTAGCTTTGTCTAAGTCAAATGTTCTAACTTTAATCTTCAATATTAAAAATTTATATAGTTTAGCAACTTATGAACTATTATGAAATCATAGTGTAGTATATATTATGAAATCATTTCTTATTGTAAATCTAAAACCAAAGATGTAAACTATTTTTATTATAAGAAAATGGTAAATCTGAAAAATATAAATCTTATGACATTATAAATTAATTTGTAGGAACTACTAGTCAAAGTTACGTATGTGTGACTTAGAATAATCGTGAAACAATGGGCCTATTTGGGAGAACTTCTAATTATCGTAGTTTCTCCCGTAATCTCTAGCTCTCCCAAATAGTCTATGATTGCTACACAGATTCTAAGAATCTGTAGCTGTAAAATTCAAAAAACGAACTAGAACCTAGAAGCTGAAAAACACAGCTACTCTAAATTCCCAAAAGCTAGCTACCAACCATTAGATTCTCAGAATTTTAAGCTCCCCTAAATACGGCCAATAACTGATTTGAAACAGAGTGAATCGCTTAGAGCAGGTACAATAGCAGTCCATAAGCCAGTTATAAACATATTTTAAAGAGATAAATTAAAAGAAGAGAGAGAAGAGCAGCGGGTTACAGATATGTAGCTAGCTGCACCACGGACTTCAAGACGTAATGTGTGTATGACAGGTGAGACCAGGTATTA